TTGTTGAGTCCTGAAAAACAAATGAATTGGAGAAGCCCCCCCAAAAAAAACCTGAAAAAACTAGATTTCTATGCAAAGGCAGTTGGATTGTGTAACGCTCCAGAGCTAATCAGCCATGTATTCCCTTTCTACAGCTTCTCAGTCACAAGTCAGTTGGAATAAGAGAAAGAAATGATAACACCAAGATAGAAATGTCCTGTCGGCTCACATCCACGGTGGAGACTGTTTCCTGCCTGAATATACTGGAGATTTTAACAACTGTTGAGCAGCATTCATGGACTCTCTCTCCTTCTCACGAGCGCAGGTCCATGCGACATGGAACAATTCATGCTAAGCTGCAGAACCACCTAGATCTCTTCAGAGATCATTTCCATTAATTTTGCCAGACAACGTCCCCATAATCCAGCTGACTTTAAGAAAGAGTGAGTCATGGCTCCTGCAGTCTTTGTCTTGGAAAGAACTAGACTGTGAGTCAGGAAGCTTGCAGGGCTCCCTGGAAGAACTAGAAAGTAACCCCTGAAGACCTGTCTGTGTCTCCTGTCACAGACACCATACATAAAGGTACCATGGAGGACAGTGGGGACCAGTCAGGGGGTCAAGGACGGCACACATCCTCCCCTCCAAATCTCTTCCTTGACTACACTTTCCCAATAATTATCCTGTTTAATCATGGCTACTTTGCATTCTGGGTTTTCTTCCAGGTAATCAGTGGCTCCCCGGTGGGTGGTGGAGGCCCAGGGTGGGGCCAAACTGGTTCTGCACCAGTTTGAGTGCAGTCTTCTACACAACAGGAACAGTTTCTCTCTAGAATCAGAGAGAGCCGCTAAAAACTAGCTTTGTATCAAGCTTGGGAACAACGTGACTTTCCATCTTTATTGACTTCTGGGGCTTCATCAGCACTGATGAGTCAAAGTTCCAAAGGGAAACTAGTCACCTTTGCAGTGCCCGGAGGGAAGGCTTCCACCACCACATGCAATTCTCTCACAAAGAGTAAGTTCAGCACTCGGGAGGCAGAGCCAGGCGGATCTCTGTGAGTTCGAGGCCAGCCTGGGCTACCAAGTGAGTTCCAGGAGAGGCGCAAAGCTACATAGAGAAACCCTGTCTCGAAAAACAAAAAAAAACAAAAAAAAAAAAAAAAAAAGAGTAAGTTCAAATCCCCCATGTCACCCAGACACCCTTCCCCGTTCTAAGTGTGGGCCTGAGTGACTCTCATAGCACAAAGGACTGCCCTGGCTGGTCTTGAACTTGCAGCTGTCATTGCAACTAATTCCCAAGTGCTGTGATTACAGGGTCTATCATTGAGCTCAACACAAGGAGGGTTGTATAACTGATTAATTCCTTATGATAGAAGATAGGTATGTATTCCATCCTAGAATCCATGGACTGCTTCAGTGGAGGAATGGGGGTGTTGGAGATTCAGACACATAACTCCTCATTCTAGCATTCAGCACTGTCTCTCAGCATACAGGAAGCAAGCACTCTACATAGGACAAGGTCCAATGCTGTCGAGTTTACTAATTTCTATAATTCCATAAAGAACAGTCTCCACATAGAAGAGACTCTGTAACCGTTTCATGTTGAAGAAATCAAGCTTCTACCAGTTCTCTCCAGGAAGTGTTTTCAGGGTGTGTTATGTTTACAAGTTCCAGAGAAAGCTGACACTGGACTGAGACATAGTATATGCCCTGCTGTGACTAACTCCCAACTCTCATCCTAAATAAATCAATTTCTGTTCCAAGTAATAGTTAACAAATGTCTTCCATTTCTAAGAAATCTACTACTACCAAACACAGTGACACATGCCTTTGAACCCAGGAGAGGAAGGTGGATCATGAGTTTGAGGCCAGCCTGTTTTCCATAGTGAGTTCCAGGACAGCCAGATACATGAAGGAAGGAAGGAAGGAAGGAAGGAAGGAAGGAAGGAAGGAAGGAAGGAAGGAAGGAAGGAAGGAAGGAAGGAAGGAAGGAAGGAAGGAAGGAAGAAGGAAGGAAGGAAGGAAGGAAGGAAGGAAGGAAGGAAGGAAGGAAGGAAGGAAGGAAGGACGCACCAAAAGCTAACACCAAAGCAAAACAAAGATTAATAACCTACTTTCAGGATTTGGTAGGAGGAGGAGCATATAATCTTGGTTTCAAAGCTGCTTGTGAGCCCAGAAATACTGAGCCATCACTCACAACTGATACAGGAACACCAAAAGAGAGCAACAGTGTCCTGCCTTGAGGAGCCGCTCAGAGAAGGGACCACACAGCCCATTCGATGAGCATGAAGTCAGGAATGGCTGGTTCCTACATTCACTTTCCCTGCTGCGGATCCCCAGGTTCCCACCTACAATTGTGTCTATGCACATTGAAACTACTTGTGGTAGGTTTGTTGGGATTTTAGATTTTTATTGTTTGTGTTTCTGCCCGTATGTATGTGTGCTAAGTGATGCCTGATGTCCAAAGAGGCCAAAGGGTCACTGGATCCCCTAGTTTTGTCTCTAGCTCCAGATGGTTGTGAGCTGCCTTGTGGATGCTGGGAACAGAACTTGGGTTCTCTGCAAGAGCAGCCAGTGCTCTTAACCAAGGTGGTTAAACAGTGAGCTGTGTATCTCTAAGTCCAATGAGCCTGACAATCCAAATTAACTGTCACACAAGCAAACAAATCATCTACGTGACACGTGTTCATGGCCTTAGCAGCACAAAGAAGGCTTCAATTTCTCTTAGCACTTCCCACAGAAATTTGGCCTGACTTTGGGGTTTTGATGAAATCCAAAAATAATTTGAATCTTTTCCATACATCCTCTCTTTGAATCTCAAAGATTATCTACTCTATCACATCGCAGGATGTCTTCACAAGCTCAGGCTACACTCAAGGTGTAACTGAAGGGATATTTACAGTGTGGCGTGCACTCTCAACATGCACGTTAAGAAAACAAGAGACAAGGGGCTCTTGTAGTTTTGTCTCTAGTTCCAGAGCATGTGGCCAGGCCAGGTATGGACCAGAAATAATGTATGGACCTCCTATTTTAATTTGCTAATACACTGAGCAACCACACTGACAACTTGGATTATAACATCTTGCAGCAGAGCAATCCTAGCAGAAAGAATTCTATGAGCTCTTATAGTGAGGCAAAGCTAGAACTGAAGAGGTAACAGTGAGGCAGGGAGTGCTATACTGTAGCGGCTAGCCAGTCCATCTGAGTGCAGGCATGTTCCACCTGTGTGACCTTGGGAGCGCTACACTGTAGCGGCTACCCAGTCCATCTGGGGCAGGCATGTTCCACCTGTGTGACCTTGGGCAAGAAACACCTTGGCTAGGCCTCAGTTTCCTTAACTACCAAATGCAGATAATAAAGCACTTACCTATTTAGGTGACCAGAGAGATAATCCAATTACAGCAGTCAATGCTGCCTCTGACACACACAGTATCCAATTTATCCAATTTATCTTTTATCTCATTTTAGGTCTGACATTAGTTTAAGGGCTCAGGCATTTTGGAACAATCAACTGGAGTTCAAATCCCCATACTGCCAATGTTAACTATTTTACAGAGGTACCTTCACCTCAGGTTTTGTGCCATGGGCTCCGGAGGCAGTGTGATCACTAATGGCACTGTCAGGGTATCTTTTAGTACAAAATCCATTAGTTAAGAACACAAAAGAAACAAATTATGTAGGAGACTACTTATCAAGATGTATCATTGACAAAGTAATGGTGTAATAGCAAAGAAGATAAACAGTTCTTAATTTCAAAGAAGTGGTAAGTAAATGTGAGAGATTTAAGACACCTGTAGTAACTGTAATGGCATTATGGAAATCTACAGTTTCTGCTTGTACCAAGAGCTCAAGAACTGGCAAAGTAGGGTTTGGAGATATAATCCATGCAAACAAACATTTTTATAGACACAACTTCTGTTCCTCTACCCCTTTGGTCAGTTAGGAACCCCTACCTTCAAACACACAATAAAATGGAGGCAGAAGTTAAGCTGAGTTGAGAATATTACATTTGTTCTTAAAGTAGGCATCACTCAAGACGTTTTCTATTTAGAAGTTATTTCCTTCCTAGAAAGTTTTTATCTCTTAGAAAAATTCAAGTCATATCGACTCAATCTCTAACGTTCACGCATCTACTACTGCTCTCCACGATCCGAGTCTTCAGGACTAAAATTTAGTTCGGCTCAGCTTCCAGATCCACCTCCAAGTCACTATGCTGCATCCAGTGGGATACTTGAAGAGCCTTTGCACAACTGTAAACCTGTGCAGCCACACTACTTTCTGGCACAAGTTTTAAAATGGTACGCCTCCCGCGTTTCCGCGACCACCAATTGCCGTCACGACCGAAATGCAACGACACTTAACAGCTTCAATCTTAGGCAATCACCGACGCGAGGTCAAGGCTTCTAAGGTTCCTTTCAAAACCTGCAAACCCCGGGGAAGGCAGGACTCGGGGTCCTTGCGGTGCACAGTGCTCCTCTGACAGCAACTGCGGGTCATTAGCCACGCTCCCTTTCACCAACCGAGCGCATTCCGGCCTCTGCCTACTCAGCAGATTCACTCTGGCAGCGCCGTTTTATGTGGAATCGTACATTCTAGCAGGAAAATCTTCATTACTCACCAGGCAAATCCTCCCCCACCCTCTCCGGGGCGAATTCTATTTTCCATGAAGTGTACTTCCAAGTTTCTTTTCAAGACACCAAAGGAGCAACTAGGAGACCCACAGAGGAGCGCACAGGGCACGCCAATGGAAACCCAGGCTCCGGCAGACGAGTGAAACCAACTTCACTTGCCGAAAAGTAACAGTTCTTTGAGGCAGAAGCCGGAGCTTTAACTTGAACCTTAACTTTTCGGGCGGTCCCTCTGCACCCGGTGGCACTCTTTACTGCCTGACACTCGGGGATGAGATAGCAGGGACCCAGCGGCGGCTTCGTGCGGTCCCCGCCCCGGGCCCCTCCACCCGCGTCGCCCCGGCCCCGGCCCCCGCGGCCGCTCACCGGTCCGGGGAGCCCCCCGCGCCCGCCTCACCTGGAGTGGGCTGCCATGGCTCGGCTCACACAGCCCGGCGTCCCGAGTCCATCAGAGCTCTCGCCCCGCGGGGCCCTCCGCCCGCGCCGCGCTCCGCATCGACCGCAGCCGTCGGCGACGCTGCCCAGCGGACGCCCCAGCCGCGCGGACGCTCAGCTCCCGGCCGCTGCGTCCTCGGCTCCGCGTCCTCAGCGCCGCCTCCGCCCCCCGGAGCCTCGGCTCGCGCCGAGCCTGACGGACATCCGGGCACCGGGGGCCGCCGGGCGAGCCGCACTTCGCTCGAGCCCGGGGACCGGCGCTGCCCACCGCCCCGGGGCACTCTCGGGTCCCTGAAGACCACGGGGCGCGTCCCCGCCGCCCGCCGCCGGCTCCCCGCTCGCAGCCCGCTCGCACTTCGAGGGCGAAGCGCGCGGTCCTCGGCTCCCCTCGAGGTGCCCGAGCTCGCCGGGACCCCCCCGCGGGCGCTGCGGTGGTACGGCCCGCCTCCTTTTAAGGGCAGCGCGCTCGGCCGGCGCAGCCTCCAGCCCCGCCGTGTGCAAACGCGCGCTCCGGGGACCCCGGCACTCCGGCTGGGACCTCGGCGTCCTGGAGCCGCGGGGTTGTGCGGGGAGCGGGCAGACGAGCACCGCCCGCGCTGCTTCTGGCCGCCCCTGCGGGGCTCGCCATCGGAAACATAAGGGATCCGCAAGCAACACTGCTTTAACTTTGCTTTCAGTTTTGAGTTTAGTACTCCGAGACATGTGTTTACACAACGACTTCCCTCTTGGGGCAACATGCGGATTACACAGAAAACAAGCACTCGGGGAAGTCCCCTGACAAATTAAAAGAATTGCTTCCCTCCCATAACAAAAACCGTGATGCAAAACAGCGATTCAATAAATGCCCGAAAGTGCAATCGAAATTGCGTCCAACTCAGACATCAGGAAAGGCACCAAGCCTTGCCTGGGAAGAAGCTAAGAACTACGATGGGCAGAGAGGCAGGGAAAGACCTCGGCATCGCCGAGGACCAGCTTGCTGCCGGCGCAGGAAAGCCTTAAGAGTAATGCCGACCCGACACTCTTACCCAGTGCGCTCTCTTACCCGGTGCGCTCCCGGCTCGACAGGCACTCAACGCGGTATACTGCTCAGGCCACTTGACAACCCAGTTCCTAAAGACTAAAAGGTCCGGCACCCAGACTACAAGGCAAGGTCTCTCTAGACAACCGGGAGTCCCCTGTCAGGTCAGAACCGCTTTCAGAATAACCCAAGACAACGCTGGCTTTAGTACGGATGGTGGGGAAAGAGACCGACACCTTCGGGGGAATCAGGGCTGAGGGGGCCAGTGAGGCCAGTGGCCACTGCTTTCTTCACACACATTAGTGGAGAGCACGTGTTCTTTAGGCATGCCCTTAACGAAGTAACTAGTCCTTTCACTAGATCTTAAGTGAGGTTTCTTTCTTTTCTTTCTTTCCTTCCTTCCTTCCTTCCTTCCTTCCTTCCTTCCTTCCTTCCTTCCTTCCTTCCTTCCTTCCTCTTCCACTTCCTCCCCCTTCTTTCTTTGTGACCAAATGGAAAGTGCACACGAAGCACTGTTCTGAACTGGGAAGCACTTGTAAAAAAGTGAGCTAGCTGCAACCTGAACTAGCTGTGTTTTCATGGACTACCCTGTTTCCTTGAAAGAACAATTCACAAACTTCTGACTTTGGCATCTGGCAAGTCTTCGAAAGAAAACAACTGCCCATGTTCATTGCAAAAGATAAGCTTAAGCTTCCAAGCTCTTGGAGAAACTTTACAAATGCCACAGTAAGTGAAACAGTTTCCCGTGCTCAAAAGGTGTTCCTGGCAGGTCATGGTGACAGTGAATGATTCAAAAGACCTTCCTGACTTAGGGAGCAATGGGTTCCACATGACAAAATATGATGGTACAAGATCGTGCAGGAGGGGCTGGAGAGATGGCTGGGCTGCTCTTCCAGAGGACCCATGTTCAACTTCCAGCATCCAAATCCCTGCTCTTAACTGTAACTCTAGTGCCAAGGAATCTGAAGCCCTCTTCTGGCCTCTGCAAAAATCAGGCACACACCTGGTGCACGAACACCCACACAGGCAAAACTCCCATACACATAAAAATAAGTAAATAAAAATTTAAAAAAAAATCATACATGAGTAGGTGAAATATCCTCTTGAACGCTTGAGAAAGATGTTATGAAAATATCTTCCTCAAAGTACCGTGGTTCATACCAACAAGCTCAGCCACCTGGGACGCTGAGGCTGGAGGATCAAAATTTCAAGGCTCACTTAGACTTCATAGAGACAGCTCATGAAATAAAACACACAGACATATCCTTTTCTGTATAAATCAGGAAATATACATGTTATATGAAAATGCTCAACCATTTTATAAGGGACTTATATGCCAACTGTGGTCACTTATTCTGTAAACAAAATAGTCTCAGGTATAAAACTAGAGAAAACATCATTCAAAATCTCCATTTGGATTGGGCTATAAATGTCATTAGTGTTAAAATTAGGAGCAAGGTCTGTGTGCTGAAAACTAGCATTTAAATGCCTTCCCTTCTACACAGAGTTGTACTTCTGTCTTATCTTGCACAGGTTTGTTCTAAAAGAAAAGAAGTAAAAATTTAGCAAGATGGGGGGAGGGGTCCTGAGTTGGACATGGTAGCATATATTTTTAACCCAGCACTCAGGAGACAGAGGCAGGTGGATCTCCACGTTCTGGACCAGACAGGGTTACATAGTGAGATTCCATTAAAGCAATTGTTTTAAAATTTATTTTCAAGTTGGGTGTGTGGCTTAGCAGACCTTTCCTAACATACAAAAATGGCCCAGTGTCTGATTACCACACCACAAAATAAATCTAAGCAAGTAACTGCACTCTTCTCAAGTGATAATTGTTGAGACAATTTAAATTTAAAAAAAACACAGCAAATATTTCCCCATAGAGATAGAATATGATTTGGAGTAGACCTGATAGTCTCTGGATTCTGAGTGCTTTATAATGTAAATCAGAATAATCTAAAATGGAAGTGAATCTCACAAACTAGAAGTCCAGGAGGAGTCACCCCAGTGGATGCTGTGTGAGTGAAGAAAGGCCAATTTCAACACTGTTATTGCCAACCACCATTGTATGGGACCCAAGGTCTAATTGGGAAATGAAGGTGAACACAGAATCCTTTGGCTTTTCTGATGAAGTTGGACCCAACACCACAACATCCACCATATCTTAACTAGACTCACAGTTTCTCTGGCAGTCATCTCGGAAGCCCCTGAGAAAGCCCCAGCTGTCATAAATGGAGAACATCCCTCGTTCCAGCACTCAGGAGGCAGAGGCAGGTGGATCACTTAGAGGCCAGCCTCGTCTATGTAGTTAGTAAGTTCCAAGCCAGCCAAAACTACGTATAAGACTCTGTCCTAGCCGGGCGGTGGTGGCGCACGCCTTTAATCCCAGCACTCGGGAGGCAGAGGCAGGCGGATCTCTGTGAGTTCGAGGCCAGCCTGGACTACCAAGTGAGTTCCAGGAAAGGCGCAAAGCTACACAGCGAAACCCTGCCTCGAAAAAAAAAAAAAAAAAAAAAAAAAAAAAAAAAAAAAAAAAAGACTCTGTCCTAATTAATAATTGACTCATTAAAAATTTGAATGTAGAGCTGTCTTATTCTCCAGTAGATTTTCTCTTAATGATAGAAAGCTATGGTAGGGCAGCCAAGTATATCACTCGCACAACAAAAGAACAACTTTCTATTTCTACATTTCCTGAATCCATTACTCCCACAGGGAGGGGCCCAGGGTGCTCAAGTTAGCCAAGAGGGCAAGCTTTACGAGGTGAGTGGGGCAATCATTGTACCTCCTGAATGCCAGGAGGACCTTTTCATTAGCTCTTTAAATTAATGAGCTTTAAAAATAACTCTTGCACGCATGGAATGCTAACTGCACACGGTAGATGTAATCCATCTTCAAGCCCAGGGCTTGTGCGTGTCAGGCAAGGCATCTAGTTGTAGCCCCAGTTAGATGTATCTGAAATATAATCACCAACTCAAATGAATTTTGCCCAAAAATGATAAATAGGTAAGCCATCATTCACCGAAACAGGAGGATCAGCAGTTTAAAGCCATACTGGGCAATGTATCCAGTTGTAGGGACCTAGGGTACAAGAGACCCTGTCCCAAAAAGCTAGAAGAGACGAACAGGTCAGGGAGAACCAGGGTAGAAGAGAAGAGAGGTAAGAGGAAGGATGGGAGGGGAGGGGAGGGGGAGGGAATAAGAGAGCATTAGAGCCATCACTGAATACTCCACTGTTTATCTGATAAAGCACACAAATAGATTTTTAGATGCATATTTAAAACATTCCAAAGTACTTGCTATGTAGACCAGGCTGGCCTAGAACTTGCATCGATCTTCTTGCCTCTGTTTCCACAGTACTGGGACTATGGAACTGCACTACCACATCCAGCATAACACACACACATACACACACAATTTTTTTTTAAAGCAGTTTGCCTTATTCATCACTCTAAAATACTTCAGTATATCCATTTATACCACAATAGGAATGTGAGTGTTATAAACCAAAATGGCCTGAAAGCTACATAGGTCAAATCTCCTCAAGAAATGCCACTTCATTTCAATGTGTTACGGTTGAAAAGGATGTGGTCAAAATCACTTTGCCAAAACAAGTGTTCCAGGCTCTAAAATATAAAATAAAACCAAAACGGACAGACATAGGAAAAGGGAGGTGAGGCTAGTGGAGAGCGTTAGATGCTTTCCCCGCAGGCCTGAGACACAGGGAAAATGGCCCTGGCTCCACACACCCCTCAACTCTTTCACCTAGCTCTGCAAACTGGGGTTCCCTTGGGAGTCTGAGTATGTGTGAAGGGCAAAGTAGGTTTTAAAGAAATCTATTTCCAGGTCTCTAGTTTCCAAATGCCCCCTCCTCCCAGCCCCAAATGCCTTCTTTGTTACAAACAGTACTCGCTCACTTCATTTCTACTTGCCCTCTCCTGTGGATTAAAAAAAAAAAAAAAAAAAACCACCGAGCCTCTAATCCATACCAAATCGATCTTAAACGGTGCTTGCTCCAGGATTAAGAACGATACCACTTCCAAGGAACTGTTCTCTCCAGAGGGCGGCTGAGTCTCAATCCTGGAACTCAACGAGTATTCGTGCATGGCTCCTCATTAAACACATCCAGGTAGCAAGCTGGTCACAGTCCTCGCGCCTTGCCTCCCAGGAGGACAGGAGACAGGAGGATAACCAGATGCTCAGACTTCCTTTCAAAGACAAATCTGATCTCCTGACTGGTTAGAGAGGGAGGGCTTGTAAATTTGCATCATT